TTCCCACTTTACAGATGAGGAAACTGAGGCCCAGAGGAAAAGCCTACAGGTCCTAGTAAGCAAGCAAGTAGCAGGGCCAAGTTTTACCCTTGGACTCAGATGACTCCAATCACCTCCCCCTCCCCAGCCTCAGTTTTCTCATCTATGGAATGGGATGGTAGCTGTTTTTCTAATCTCTCAGGTTTACTGTATGGACTAATATATATAAATATAAAAGGAAGAATGGGGTTTGAGTCTCCCCTTATAAATTGGGTAATGCTTTGTCTAAGATAAAAATAAGAACTTTTCTGGGGGGTGAAACTGAGGAGTAGCTGAGACTCAAATGGTCCCGAAGCCCCAATTCACCCCTCTCCCTAGGGCTTGTCTGCAGCCTGGGGCCAATTCAGCAACCTTCCTCCTTTCCTGGGCCCACTGCCAGCCCCTCCACCCCTTCCCCCTACCCATTGCCACTGGAAGACAATGGTGGGCAGGCCCGGCCTTTGTGAGAGGGGTCAGGCCAGTTAATCTCAGACTGGGCTGGGGAGGGGCATGTAGGAGGACTAGGGGAAGGGAGAGGGGGCTGCATGTGGGGACAGACAACAGAGGGCTTGTGAGGGTCTTGGGGGGCGGGGGTGGAGAGACACTAGAGGCCAGGGGCCTGAGGAGTAAATGCTTCAAACAGGCTTTGGGGAGCGTTTCCTCCGAATGTAGATTTGAGCTCCTATTAAACTTGCCAAAAATTTGTGTTAGCTAATGGATTCTTAATTCTGTCTAAAATGAGAGAGGGAAAATTATGCCATTCATCTTGTATTGGTTTGAAATTACATCTGACACCTAATCGATCATACTGTGGAACATTAACTCTTTGGAAGAGACCCAACTTTTCCTCTCTCCCTTGCTTTCCAGCGCTCTCGAGCCACCCCCACCCCCTGATTCCTTCTTTTGTATTTCATTAACTAAGCAAAGCTTTGGCTGTCTCTGGGGGTGAGGGGTGGGAGTTAGGGAAAGTGTTCATTTGAATCAAAAGAGATAACTAGGCCCCCCAATCTTTTGCCCAAGACCAGGGCCCCTGCTTCCAACCTTCAAGTGACCTCTCTCTTCCTGCATTTTCCTATGTATTCCGAGATCTAGAAAAGCAGAAAGAAAGAAAGGCGTTGGGGTGTGGGGCGACCTCAGAACCACCTTGGGGGCACCAGAGAGAGGCCTGGAGCCAGGCAAAGCTGAGCTAGCACCTGGGGCTAGGGCAGGGGCCGTGGCAGGGGGTTCACCTGCGACTTGCTTGGCAGATGGGTGAGGAGGAGGAGGGCAGATGACAATAGATTTACCTCTGGGGATCCTGATGAGCTCTGACTGAAAACCCCAACTCCAGACCGGCTTTCCAGGAGGAGGACTTTCTGGCAGCAGAGAGAACCCACTGGAGGCCAACAGACCTGGGCTGGGATCCTGGCTTCATTCCTGACAAGCTGTGTGACCTTGGGCAAGTTACATAATGCCTCTGAGTCTCAGTTTCCTTCCCTGTCAGAGCAGGATAATAACACAGGCATAGGGCTCAGGTGAGGACTAGATGAAATAATCCAGGTAAAGGGGGAACAGAGCCCATTGCCAGGCACACAGTAGGTACCCAATAAAGGTGACAGAATCCGGATCAACACTCCCCCTCCCTGATACTTCTACTTCCCCACTTCCCTTCCCACCCCCCTTCTTCCCTTTTCTCTCCTACCTCCAGCGCCTGGTTCCCAGGCAGACCTGGGCTGAGAAGCCACGAGGTCAGGTCTGTAAGAGCCAATGTCTTCTCCTAAGAGGACACCAAAGGAGGCCTAGGCCCCCTGGGTCTCTGCAGGGCCCCTAGCCCTCTTCTTTCCTGGAGCTCCTCTGTCTCCTCCTAAAGTTGTAGGGGTTGTCTCCTGCATGGAGAGCTCTCTTAGCACCTTCCACCCTGCCTGGGTCTCTGGAGGAAAAGGAGCTCTGGGAAGTGAGGCCAGGAGGAGGGGCACCCCAGCCGGGAGAGAGCCACTTGCTTTTACTCAACATCCCTGACTTCTCCTGTGGTTTCCAAAGGGTGTCTGTCCCCAGTTTGATTATCCCATATTTTATCAGGAAGGGGTGGATTGGGCGGGGAGTGGGGGCATGTCACTCAAGAGCAAGGGAGGACAAAGGGAACCAGGTAGGTGTGAGAGTGGGGAGGGGGGCAGGGACATCACCCCCATCTCTATTCCCTGGGAGGTACCATGGATTCTCCCTCAGGTTGGCTTTAGGCACTATGCGAAAAGAAGCCTCCACAGCCCTCCAGCTCCATGTGAAGGGAGTCATCATGGAAGGAATGTGGCATGCACCTCTGGCACAGAGGACGCATGGGGGCTGAGGGCCTCTTTCATTGTATATCAGGGTAGTCTCATCTTCTCAGCATAGACTTCATTCTCAGTAAGCACCCATAAATACCTGAATGAGTGAATGTACAGGTGAAGGGACCTGGCTGGTTTAAGTGACCAGTCAAGGTCACATAAGGAATCATTAACTCCTATCAGGTATCTGCTCCAAGTGCCAGAAAGAACTGCCTAGAATGCTCCGACTGTATTCTTGAGCCTTGTGGAGGAGCCCCGTGTGAAGACTATGAATAATGGTGAAACATCACCCAGTACCCTCATTTTACAGAGGAATGCAAGACTAAGAAAGGGGGTCCGATTGACCAGGGCCACAGGGTGAGGCAGGGCAGCTGAGGATGTGAGGCCCTGGCTCTCAGTCCAGTGCTCTTCTGTACCCACATCATGAATCTGAAGGGACATTTTCTAGGCCTCTTGTCCATTCCCAGCAGAGCCTACGTGGTTTCTGGGGAATGGGCTGGAGTTTTGGGAGGGAGTCCGGAGAGCTGCTGAAAGAGGCTTTCCCTGAAGAGAGAAAAGCAGAGGGGGGTGGTGAGGTTTCTTAACTCCCTCTCCCGCCCCAACACACATACAAACACACAGCGGCAGGAATTTTATTTCCAAATGTCCCTTCTCTGGGGAGCTTGCTGTTTCCCAGGAGACGCCTGGTGGAGATGCCCCTTCCTGCCAGCCTCCCTGGCAGCCACTAGGCGGCTGTGGCTCCCTTTTCTGCCTAGAGACGCCACAGCAAGGGTCCCACGTGGTTTGTATTAATAGGAAGTGGAGCCCAGGACTACAGACACAGAGGATGGAACAGTCCAGCCAGGGGTGGGTGGGCAACCAGGCCAGTAGACTGAGGCAGCCTCTCCCAGGGCCACATTGATCAAGGGCCCCAGGCAGCCTGGCATGTCTAGATACATGTGCTGACCTGCTTCTGGTCACCAGAGAAAAAAGAAAACAATCCTCCCTGACATCTTCTTCCCCAAACTGGAAATGTTTTTGTGTTTTTATCTTAAATATAAAAGTAATGCATGACTGTTACAAAAATAGATAATTCCAACAAAACAGAATGAACAAAAGCTCCAGACTCAAATTTTAGGATCTGTCTTTTCCCATAGGAAAGCAATCAGCCTCTAGCAAAGAGTCCAAGGCAAAAGTCTGCTTTGTTCAGGAAGAAGTGGGAAAGTATCATGACACTGTGGAAAGTTCTAGAATTTTGGAGGTCCTCCTGAAGCAAACACCCTTATACTGGAGAGACTGCTATGTGTATCTGTCTGTTTTCCCCTCAGAAGATCAGCCGCTTCAGAGTGGAGTTCTTCCCACTCACTCTGTGTTATTCCCACACTTCCACCTTCTGGGTGCACCATGCTGCCCCAGTGTGGTCACCCAGGAAATGTGGGTTGGAAGAATAAATTCATGAACTTACAGATAAGGAAACAGACCCAGAGAGAGACACTGAATTGCCAGAGTGGCCCAGATCATGTTCACAAATACAATGATTGCCACAGCTCTGGAAAAAACTGGCTTCAAATTCTCCACCAGCTCCCTCTTCCCCAGGGTTGTGGAGAGCTAAAGAATGGAGTTAGCCAAAGAGGGCAGGGCTACAGAAGAAATTTCCCAGGTCTGGCCCTTGGACAGGACAGTCTGAGGCACTAGAGGGAGACTGTCAGGTCTTGTAGGAAGAGAGGCCCCACCCAAAGAGGGATGGGAGTGGTGGAGAGTCTGATGTGAATTTAGAAATTAAATCTATGCCAGGCCAGTGAGGTGGAGAGCAGTTTTGCCCTTCTACCCTGACAAGGAAGCAGATCTGATTGGAAGTTTCCACGTCACCTTCCAGTTAAGAAGGGATTTAAGTATATGGAGGAAACTTACCTCCTTCAAGGAGAAGGGACGGATTCATCCAACACAGCAGCAGGGATGGAAGCCAGCCCCTCATCTCCCTTTCTCTTCCTTGCTAGAGAGTCCCATTAACCATTGATAACTGTCAGGGAGGTCTTAACCCCATTTTACAGATTAATAAACCAAGGCTAAAAAAGGTAAAGTTACTTGCCCAGGTAACAAACCAAGTGGCAGGACTAGAAAGGCCCTCCGGCCTGGCTCCCGGATGCTCTTTCCACTGAGGCCTCACCGCAACACCTGGAGTAGGGAGCCACCATTTTGTGGCCAGACCACCCTCTGCTAGATTTGGGCACAGGTTCTCTAATTCACAGAGGCCCGTGGGCTTCGTTTGAGCTCAGATCCTTGCCGTGTCCAGTGTTGTTTGGGCAGACCCTGTCCCTGCTTCCCCCTGAGAACTGGATTTAAGGCTCCTAGAGAGGCCTGCAGTCACCCGGGCTTGGCCCACGTGATCAGTGCTCCTGGAAGATGTCACCTTTCCCATTTTGCCAAGGCTTCTTCTGAAGTTCTCAGTCCATCACTGTGCTCCCTCCCCACCCCAAACCCTCCAGACTTTCGGGTTAGGGTGCAAAATTTTTGCCAAGGGCAGGTCCCAAGACCCGCGGCGTTCATGGCCCAGGGCAGGCGCCTTGGGCGGTAGCACTGAACCGGGCCCGCCACAGCTCCGCTCCTCCTTTGGGCCCTCCCCACCCACGAAGCGGGGCAAAGGCTGCCCCTGCCCTTCCTCCTTGACCTGTCCAGCGGGCCGCAGCGGGGCACCGAGGGGCCGGCAGCCCGAAGAGCGGCTGGGGGCGAGGGCCGGGGAAGGGGTCCGCAGATGCCGCCTCGGCCCCCCTTCCCTGACCGGGGCCCCCACGGTGTCGGGGAGCAGGAGGAATCAATCAGGATAATGAAGCCGCAGCCTGCCACGCACCGCGGGGGCACTGAGGAGCCGGGGCCAGTGCCAAGTCCGCCAGACGGTTCGGAGGAGCCGAGCCCGGCACGGCCCGGCGGCGGCGGCGGCGGCGGCGGCGGCGGCGGAAACCCGGAGCCGGCGCGGAGGCCGGACGAAGCACCGCGCAGGTCCTTGGCAACAGCGCCTTGGCAACCGGGACGCCCGAGAGGAATCTTAAAGCTGCAGAGCCTCCTTTCCTCACCGCTGCCTCCTCCTGGACCTCAGGGAAAAGGGTCGTGCCCAGAGTTAGTGGTGGGAGTCAGGCCCTGTGCCTCTCGGGACTTGGGGGTCCAACTCATACCCTTACTCCTTCATTCATCAAATGTAGATTGAACCTACGTGCCCAAGCACGGGCTAGACACTGGGGAGGGGAACGGGCTGTGATTAAAAACATGAACAAAGTCCTGCCAAGAGGAGTTCACAGTCTAGCGCGCAAGGCAGACCAGACTGGCTGAGGTGAGCAAAACCCCGTACTACCCAGGATGAAGGGGCTTAGGCTGGAGGGCTGAGGGGCTATTACAAAATAATCCTGCAGCACCTGCTTTGTTCTAGGCCGTGGGTTAGTTTGTTCCTGGACTGTGCTATTATCCCTCCAAAAGTCCTGTGAGATGGGTATTATTTTCATTACCATCATTTTCGATCCTATTTTAAAGAAGAATAATCAGGGGCACCTGGGTGGCTCAGTCAGTTAAGCCTCAGACTCTTGATTTCCGCTCAGGTCATGATCTCATGATTAGTGAGATCGAACCTCTCATTGGTCTTTGCACTGGCAGTACAGAGCCTGCTTGGGATTCCCCCGCGCTCTGCTCCTCCCCTACTCACACACACTCTCTCTCAAAATAAATAAGTAAACATTAAAAAAAAAAAAAAAAAAAAAGATGAACAATCAGAGGTCCAGAGTGACAAAGGGACTTTTCCAAAATCCGATATTATGTTTTGGACAATTTAGGACTTTTGACTCTGGCCAGCTTTCATTGCAGCATGATGTCTGGAAGGTTAGACCTGAGTGAGGACTTCCCAATACAAATCATGTAGGAAATGAGGAGAAAGAGTAGCTGAAGGTAGAGATGGCTACTTCTCTCTTCTGCTGCCCACTAGACCAACCTTGTCTGCATGGCAGGCCTATATGTAAGCAGAGACAACTAGAAGGGGTGACCTCCAGAGGTCCCCCTGGTTCTGCAATTTGATGTCTCCTGCCTGAAGTCTAGGCACTGTGCCACCCTTCTGGGCAGCAGTATTTGGCAGGGGGCTGCAAACTAGGGGAGATTCCAGCCTTCTGAAACAAGGGGTCAGGGATGATGGGGGAGGATTAAAGGGGTGGGAAGGGGCTTTGGCAAAAGAAAGCCAGAGTCAATATCAATAGGAAGACTGGGCTTCATCTTCCCTTCTCTTGTCCACCTATCTTTCTCTTTCTGCACATCCATTCAGGTAAGAAATTTGTGCCAGGGCCTGGGGTAGGCTCAGAGACCTTTGGGAAGGCAAAAAATCACGCTGACTTTATAGCCAGACTCATCTGGTTTCAAATCCTGGCTCTGCCACTTATCAGCTATGTGAGCTTGGGCAGGTGATTCAGTCTCCCTGAACCTCACTCAGTTTCCTCCTCTGTAGAGTACAGACATTAGTATCTACCTTTCAGGGCTATTGTGAGACTTAAATGCATTGAGAAAAATGTATGTATGGTGTCGAGCACATGGTAGATGCTTAACAAATGATAACTTTAAAGATCTCTTTATTTTGATAGTCTGATAATGGCTCCCAAAGATATATCTACCTCTTAATCCCTGGAATCTGTGAATGTTACCATTCTGGAAAAGAAGATCTTTGTAGATGAGATTAAGTTAAGAATCTTGAGATGCAGAGGGGGGGCCTGGGTTGCTCTGTTGGTTAAGCGTCTGACTGGCTCAGGTCATGATCTCATGGTTCGTGAGTTTGAGCCCTGAGTCAGGCTCTGTGCTGACAGTGTGGTACCTGCTTTAGATTCTGTCTCACTCTCTCTGCCCCTCCTCTGCTCATGTTTCCTCTCACCTGCGCTCTCTCTTTCTCAAATAAATAAACATTAAAAAAAAAAAAAAAGAATCTTGAGATGCAGAGATTATTCTGGATCATCTGGGTGGGCTCTAAATGCCACCACAAGTGTCCTTATAAGAGAGAGGCAGAGGAAGATTATACACACAGAGAAGAATAAAAGGTGATGTGAGGACAGAGGAAGAAATTGGGAGTGATGCAATCACAAGCAAATAAATGCCAAAGACCACTAGAAGCTGAAAGAATAGATCTCCCTTAGGGCTTCCAGAGAGAGAGCACAGTCCTGCCAACACCTTGATTTTGGCCCAGTGAAACTGATGTTGAACTACTGGCCTCCAGAAATGTGAGTGAATAAATTTGTTGGTTTTTGTTTTTGTTTTTGTTTTTGTTTTGTTTTGTTTTGTTTTTAAGCAACCAAAGTTGTGGTAATTTGTTACAGAAGCTATGGAAAATGAATACATTTACAATGGAGTTTCCAGCTTTTTTTTTTTTTAAGTTTATTTATTTATTTTAAGAGAGAGAGAGAAGGCACAAGCAGGGGAGGGGCAGAGAGGGGGAGAAAGAGAGAATCTCAAGCAGGCTCTGCACTGTCGGCTTAGAGCCTGACTTGGGTTCAATCTCTCAAACCACAAGATCACGACCTGAGTCAAAATCAAGAGTCAGATGCTTAAGCTTAACCAACAGAGCCACCCAGGAGCCCCAGTGGAGATTCCATCTTAAACAAAACCCAGTACCGTCCCTCTAGGAGTTCAAAGTCCAATGGGAAATGAGAGAACTAAACAGTGCATAGGGATGCCCAGAAGGTAGAAGGGGAAGGTAGGTAAGGCTGTTGGAGTTAGGGAAGGAATTAGCCAGGTGAGGGGCTAAAGCAGGAAGGGCATTCCAAGCAGAGGAAACAGTGTCAGTAAAGGGGTAGGGAAGAACATTGACTTTAGAAGACTGTCCATGTTTGGGAGGACAGGTGCATGGGGATGTAGGGGGTGGTATGACAGAACTGCTGAGGTAGTTGGCAGGGGCAAGAGGGCTAAGTAGTTTCCAACCCAGAATGGAATCAACCCCTCCACTTTGTGCTGCACTGGGCTTCAAATCAGAGAATGCTAGACTGACCCTAGGCCTTAGAGACCATCCAGTGCAGTCCTCCCATTTCACACATAGGGAAATTGAGGCCCATAGAGAGTGAGTTCATCGAGGGAATAAGCTACAATAAGATGGCTACACTCTGGCCTCTCTCTTGAGCCTCCCTCTTGAGTGTTCCATGTCTGAGGGTCTCAGAGATGCTGCCTGATGGTCCCTCTGTAGAACACATCCAAAAAACACAAGCCCTGTGGTCTCTAAACAAAGGGAGTGATTTGCATATTATTTGCATGCTGCTAATTAGATGAGAGAAGCAGATTCACTTAGCCTTCTCCCTTTGTGTCCCCCTGTCCTATGTCCTTCTCATGGAGTTCTTCCTCATCCATCTGTTGACCTCAGCAACTTCTCCCATAATTCCAGCCCAAGCCTCTCCCCCAAAGGCCCCTTACTCAGCTCCTGCACAACCCCTTCTGTATTAAGTATTTGGTCCTGTCTGGAAAAAGTACCTGGTGGGTCTTTAGTCTGAGTGGAGGATCTTGGAGCAGGTTATGTGGAAAGGGAGGTGAGGGGTGTTCCAGCTTGAAGTTTTCTCTGGGAATGGGAAACAGTGAGCTCTGTCTCCTTATAGTCCAGGGGCTATCTGAATGGGGCTATGGAGTTGGAGGCGGGGAGAGTGCTCCTTGGGGATCTGGTGGGCAGGTGCCAGCTGCATGCCCCAGGCCTGCCCCAAGCCTCTTGGCTGGCAGCCACACCAGTCCGTGAAGAAGCTGGCTTCTTTGAGGAAGGAGGATTCCTGGGGAAGGTCAGGAAGCATCCCTTGGCCTGGCAGTCTAACATGGAAAAGGCTGAGGTTACCATGAGAGTTCCTGTGGATCCTCCAATGGGGACAGCACATCCAGATTCTTAATGGCTGTCATCAACCTAGCTCAGAAAAAATGTGAGGCGCTGTGCTCAACTGAGCAGTGTCTCCTTGAGGGTAGGCACTCAGTAAATGTTTTCTGATAATGAGAGGCCACCTGTCTCATGAGAACAGGTAAAGAGGAAAGGGGGCCACAGAGAGGCATAGATTCTGCCTCTCTCACCTCTCATTAGCCTCCTCTTTCCTCTGAAATCAAAGCTATGCCCAGCGCCTCTCCCAAGTGAGATGTATAGGCTTGTCATATGATGACCACCAGAGAAGGCACCACACTGTAATCAAGACAGGTGCACAGGATGAGCACAGGTATCCCTAACCCCTATGCTGGCAGAGTTGCTGTGGCGCTTCATCACCATCATGGCTGACTCAAGGTAGCTGCCAGGAGCTGGAGAACATTGGTGCATTAGGATTCATGGAAAAACGTGGCTCAGGCTAACAACTTGCAGAAACCAACCTGGTTAGGACAGTGGTCTGGATGTGGGAAGACTGCTCTGCATATGTGAATAATTCTTCTCCGTGCATGGGTAATAAGTGAGCTGCGTGTACACATGCTCCACGGGGCTTCAGCAAGCATCCTGACCTGCATGCACATATCCCAGCGCGCACAAGTGTATACTGCACAGGAGTGTCTTCATGGAATTCCATCTTCCTTCTTTCCTCCTCTGGGTCTTCTCTTCTTGTTTCCTGGTAAAATGGGAAGTGGCATAGGAATATTAGTTTCACTATCCCCAGCCTTGATCCCTTGTGTTGAAGTTCCCTGCCTCCATTTGCCCATGACAGCAACTGGTGGATTCCCTCTTGGTCTTGAGTTGAGGGATCCCAGCTCCTGGGATGACCATCTTGCATCAATTCCTCTGACCTGGTGTGTACCATGCCACTTCCTCATCTAGTGTCCAAGTTGAGGGGAGAGGTGAGAGGAACTAGGGTGATGCTACAGGAGTGGGAATAGGAAGGGGGATCAGATACTGTTCGATTTTGCCTGGGTCCCTCTGGAGCACTGCTGCTCATTTAAAATTCCGATTTAAAGCCGAGCGGCTCTTTAAATTTCCACATTAGCATGCCGCCCTGATGCCAGGCCAAGATGTTGGGATGGATTTGGCAGGAACGCCTCTAACAGCGGCAAGCAGCAGCATTTGCCAGCAATAAAACAACGCATGAATAAAAGAAAGCCTGCTTGGCAGCAGCAGCAGCCCAGGTAGCTGGGTGAGCCCAGGAGGGGCCCTCATATTTGGGGCTCAGAGGCATGAAGGCTTATACAGGGGCATGTGTGAGTATAGGCCTCTGTGGCGGTCTTGCCTTCCCCCCTCACCCTCAATCTGTGCCTGCGGTGGAATTTGGGGTGAGGGCCCAGGCAGGATTGGGGTTTCTCCCCTGTGCCTGTCCCACCTCCTTCCCCACAGGCTTATCTTCTTTGAGGAGACAGATGTTGCCTTTGATGAGG